TAATATACACACTTTAATTTTTTACCTAATACTTTCTTTCAACGAGTTTTTTAGACCGCGATTTTATCCATGTACGCCTGCTCAACATCAGAAATCAGACTATCAATAATTCCTCATTGCCAGTAATCAACATGTGTATTATACTCCAATCTTCTCTTCACCTGTTTTTTTGACACCATCCTTTTAAAGTAAATTTTTGTATCACACTTTTCCAAATATATAGACTTCTCCGGAGAAATCTGAGCCAAAGATTTGGTGGGTGAGTTTTTAAATTCATTTCAAACTCATTTCCAAAGTCTTTAACAAAAAAAAGCTATGGAAAATGCGATTCAAAGATATTTGGGAAAAGCTTTCAGTTTTATAAGAACTTAATGAATATGTGTTTCAGCGATTTTGGAAATTCCATCCGCCACTGAAAATGGTTATATCAAAGTTTTTTGTTCTTGTTATCTAATCGTCTTCAAAATCAGTTTTAAAGATCCCTAGAAATTTCATTTATTACGTGTTATACACTTTTCGAAAAATTCGCATCTCTTAGATCATAAATACGGGTCAAGGTTATAAGAGCAAAGTTTCTTTGAAGAAAGTTTAAATGCTTGTAACGGCAGCTTGGTGCTGAGCACAGGGTATCTCCTAGTCGGGCACCTCCAACTCAAGCAACCCTTTTTGTTTCCATTTTTTCTGCGGTGCAAAAATGAATATACATGCATTTTTAATACGCAAAAATATTGAAAAGCACGAGGCCGATAAAATATTTTTACAAATACCTAAAGCCGACATTTTGCCAACTGCATATTACGTTATGCATATTGCATTTATATCCAAAAAACAAAGTGTGCGCCAAAAACAAATACACAACAACGAAGCCCATATGCAGATATGCGGCTTTGCACGGAATTAGTTTAGTCAGAGCTGCCGATATCTTAACAATACAATGTTTTGTTTGTTAAATTAAAGACTGCACACCAAGCTTATTTGAAACGAATATAAATTATGTAAACACCAAACCATTAATATTTGTTATTGAATAGAAGGATATGAGATACGAATTTAATACAAACGAACCCCATTTTAAACCTCGCTATGCCAGTCTACAGAATCTGTTGGCATTTTTGCATTAAATGCCATAAAAGTTGATCAGAAAATGTTACGCCGATTATTGGTGTCGTGTGGTTGTCATTTCCACCCAGTTCCCATAGAAAATGGGCAAAACGATAAAAGCAATATTGCAATTGAGAAAATGCATGTTATGGGGAGACTAAACCACCTTTAACTCCAAAAAGATAAAAAATTCCTATTCAGCATCAACAGCCGAACCGATCTCAATGAAGATCTTGCATGTCTGTCCATTTATCTGACGCTTGCCAATGATAGCACTGTTGTAGATATTATTTTAAATTTTCCTGTACTCAAAAAATATGAAAATTTGGTCTTGCTTTTCTTTATTTTTTTTTTAAATTTCAATTGTGGCCAAATACATTCCAATCTTATTTGCGATTTCGGACAAAAAAATGTTTTACAATCTAAAGCAAAAAAAAGGCCAGCAATTGTTTTAGAGCTTGTATGTATGTACGATACAGGGTATCTTGGTAGTCGGGCAGCTTAAGTCGAAAGTTAACACCTTTCTTTTAAGAGCAAAAATATCTATCGAACCAAATAGAGCGTGTAAAACTACGAAAAATGTGATCATTCAATATTTTATAACAGAACTGGCAGAGCGCCCTCTATCTGTTGGGCGGCGTCTCAAGGATGGTGTCAATGTTTTATTCGGTACTGAATACATGGCTTACAGTCTAAAACTTAGAGTGTAACATCAGAAAAGTAAGTCATATCCATATATGGAATTCACAAATTTACTTAATCGATATACATTGGTAGACGAAAGTGAGAATACTAATGGAAGGTCATTGCGGAAAGTCAACCAAGTACCCTTAGAATATAAGTTTTGTTAAATAATCCCGTATGTTCCTGCGATAGACCGTCTATGAATTCATGTTACCAGAATGATTACAAGCATATTAAAGCAAGTTGGACTAAGATATCATATCATATATGCTGCATATATTTTATATTAAAAATCTTTATTCTCGACCGATTTTTCCTATGACAACATAAACTTTATGATTATAATCGGTGACAACAGAAAATCTAATATATTTTAGATAACATAGAAACAAATGGACGACCATGCTCCTATTGAATAGATGTTTGATGCTGACCAAGATACATTCTTGTTTACGAGGCCGGAGTCGAAATTGTCTCGATATCTTCTGGCTCCATATTTGACCAAGCAGCTCTCAGTTTTCCTCATGGGTATGGGTCCTCGAATAGAGGAACATCGATGGCAATTCCCGAGCAAACAAATAGGCGAGGCTGGGAACTTTGTAGACAGTTCTAGCTTGCGGTCACTCACAGATGGCAGCAGGCCACTGACACTTGCAAAGTCGCCCGAAAATCTTGGCTAATTGTGTAGAAAGCGCTCCACAGTGCTATTGCCATTAGATAGGTCCGGCCGAACACCAGTAGTCCACGTCATAACTGGCTGACATGCACCTATGCCAATAGTCTCCTGGCCCCACAACACGACTTATGCAGAGGTTGTCGCCATGGGGAAAAGGAAGAGACAGTGTCACTTGTTTCGGCACTTGTGCTGTCCTAAGTAAAACTAGATTAGGTTACCTTGGTTGCTATTTCTTTTCGGATCCATCAGATCCTTCAAAGCACAAGCCGCAACAAATTTTAGATTTGAAATCTGGGAATCGGGAAGTATATCAGTCCAGCGGTATCACAATGGACAACTTTTGGTCTAAATGAGCCAAGGGAAAATTGCTCTCGCTTACCGTATTAACCTTACCTCACCTATTGGGTCAGAGTTGTTGTCTTCTATACGTTACACATTTCGTGATTAAAATTATAATAGCCTTGAGATGGCTATAAAAACTTAAATGGCTTTCATAGAAAATTAGCCTCCCAAGGTGAAGCTAAATGAGTTCCGACGAAATGGCAGACTAAACTACAAATTTTGACAAGAAAATAAGCGATATGATTCTGCCGGCAAAATAGAATAAGTGGAGATATGTTGATGGAAATATGTTGCCATATCTATAGAATGCGAGCTGGTATGTAGGTATATAACAAGCCTATTTTCCAAAACTGGCTCGGTCCAAAGTTCTTGCCTTTAGTTTTATACAAAGATTTCGTTTATTAAACCCTAGACTAACAAATTTTGCGAAAAGTGTTGAAAAAGTCTCAGGTTAATATTCACTATGAACGTTAAAAATGAGTTAAAACCGATTTGGTTTCTGCCATTTAATTTAATTTAATAAGCAAATTTAAATCCGGATGGTACTTAAAACATTCTACATACAGCCTTCGCTCCGAATTTCCCGAAAGAAGGGCGGGTTTTTCAAAAAATGTGATACACATCTGAATACAATTTCATAAAGATATTAGCAAACGACTTTGGTCGTGCTCCACTTGACGATCATTTGTTTAAAAAATTATATTTCAATCAGACATTCATGCACTATAATTTATGGAAGAAAATCAGCCATTTTGCAGCGTATACGATTCTGTAGCACCAAATTATTGACCTCAATTGGCATTTGCGACCTTCCCTCTAAAATGATCATAAGCCTCAATGAATGACTACACTTCGCAGACGCGAAATGTAGCTCACCCGGTTTATACTTTGCACATATACATAACACTTGTGTACTTATGAACATGTGCTCGCATATTTGTATGTACATGCAACATTACCTCAAATCTGTATTTGTGCATGTATATATGCATGTGCAGGTACATTATTATTACTCGCCGGCTGGCTCTTATGCAAGAGCAACAATAACAAAAATAATAAAAAAAAACGAAACCTGCTCTCGCGCTGGCAAAGTCGCATTTTTTTGGAGCTGCGCTTTCTTTACAGCAATCGCACTAGAGGTTAGGAGGCGCGGTGCGACGCTGTGCAGCTGCGCAGTCGCTGTTTATGCCGCTGCTTAGCCAACTGCTGCCAGCGCTGTGCTGCACTTTGAGTAGCCCGAAGACGATATCGTCGTATTCATCGGCACTGACTCCGCACAGTGGTTATACACAAGAAGTCTCGCAATTCACTCGCAGGTGGGTATATAATTATGTTTTGATATGCAACATAAGCATAAGGAAATTGCCATTTATTATTACAATGAAGAAGTGCATTTTTTAATACAAAACGAAAGGCTGTTGCCCAATCTTAAAACAATTTCATCAATCGGAATAAGATTTTCTTTTCTTGAATTTTAACAATATAACGTTATCATGTATACGATAATACGAATCTATTCGTGAAAATGCTTGGAAAGAATAAAATAAGATTATATACTTAATTATATTAGTCCCAAACCTGATTTATTAGAATGAACAATTTGTATAATGCTAATCTTGCCCCAAGCCTAACGTAAAGTACAGATATTTAAAACGACATAAGTAATCTAAAATAAAATAAGGGATTAAAATACTTTATTCTAAACAAAACAGCATACTTTTTTATTTTGTTTTACAATATAAATATGACCGCTAAGTACAATCGACAAAAATTGTTTTAGCACAAAGAAATTTATTTAAGACTTAACATTAAACTAATAAATTAAAAACTGTTCTTATTTTGTAAAAATCTGAATAATATTTTTTAATATATGAAATATTTAAATTCTGTTCGACTATCGAAGAGCACACTTTATCACTAAGTGCAATTGAGACATTTGAGACACACAATACATTTTCAAGTATTTAAAGTTAAATAATTTGTTGTAAATGATGTGCACTCGTAAATCTGGTTCCACTGTACGCAGTCCGGTTCGGACGACGTTGCCGTTCGGCTTTGGATTATTTATTTTTATTATTTACATTTGTATGCATAAAGCTTAAACAATTTTGGTTGTCTTTGCCGTTTAGTTCTCTTTTGCGTGCGTTTAAATCAAGTAATCCAAAACATTTTTATGCTTGCAGCTCGGTGAGGTTTTAAATTCGTTTTCGGTTACATTTAAATTTTTGTTTTTGTTAAATCTTGCACATTTTTTGAGTGGGCCGAGTGAAAGCGAGTGAGTTTATTTCTGTTGTAATTTTGAGTTACATTATTTTTTGCTGTTTGTTTTGGTGTGTGTTAGTGCAAGTGCGAATGTGTTCGACGTTAGTTGATTATAAAAGAGCAAAATACATATCTCAAGATGGAATGTGCACTAATAATTATTATCAATAATTGTTATTATAATCAAACACGTAATAAATGCTTAAAGTAAACCGCCAAAGTCTTAAAAGCATTTCAATTTTCCCAGCTTTTAAAGCGTTACACATATGCGAATGTTATATACTAGTTGGTGTTTCCCGGCTTTGTGCGGTCAATATATCAATCTAAGAATACCCAAACTATATTGAACTCCACGCTTCAAGTTATATTTTACCGTATACAGAATCAAAAGCCTTGATCAACCTTTTCCGTGTCAACTTAAAGTCGAAAAATATAATAAACTTTCGTTCACACATGAGATTGAAGTCGATCGAATGATAAAAAAATAACTTTAGTAATACAGTTTTTCGCCAATATACCACAGTTGATGGTGGAATTTTTAAAATCTCGAAATTACGTATTTGTTATGTTCTTACAAACAGCTAGGATATCATTATTGAAGCCGATCAGGTGAAACTTAAAACTTCGTCCCTCACTTAATCTTTCTCCGGATCCTCCACACATTTTCGTAACATCGATGAATATCAGCTTTATAAAAAGCGCTTTTATATATAGACGGAGGATTTAAGTGCGAGCAACACAGATCCAGAATATTTAATTTATTTAACTTCCACCGGGCTTAAGTTCTTTAATGTAAAACAATTCCATAAGCTTTATATAAATGCAAACATTTTTTTATAGGTAGAATCGGTCGAAAAAAGAGTTTATTAAGATGTCTTTGCATAAGCAGGCTACTATATCTTTGGAGTGCTTTCTTATTCAAATTTTTTTACTTATTAAAATCACGTAAACTGAAAGCTTTCGCCTTGCAGTGAGGTGCCAAGAACTACCAGATATTTCTCCGTAATTCGGTATAAACTATGAATTATATATAATATAACCTGCTTGTATTCCATACAAAGGCCTGTTGCCAAGAGCAGCAAGAGATATTTTTAAAAACTCTGTAGGTTCTATATTTTCAGGCTTTGCTTGATGAGAACATGACGTATTTATTGCAAATTGCCAAATGTATGATATTTTCTGGGCCTACAAAAAATAGCAAAGTCTAAGATGATAACACTAGGAGTTAGTTTTTACAAAATATCGAAATTTTTTAGTCTGTGCTTACTCTAGAGAACTTACATTATAAATTTGGTGACTATACCTCCAATTTTGCCTGATTAAAGCAGGTGTTTTGGAATCATTTCTATGAGAATTAAATAACCTTGGAGAAGTATTTAAATCTTCCACAACTACCTCTAAGCAAAATCTTCTCACATCATATTTATTTATTATTTTAAAAAAACAAAGTTTTAAAAAAAAAAGAATAGAAGCAATTGCAATTGGAAAGCATCAAAGCTATAATTATGCAAAGCTGAATTCAACACATTATTTTGGTAAGCTTATTTTGGTATAGTTTTCAGTGTTTGTTGTCTCGAATCGTTGAACCCAAATCGTTGTGGCTAAGTTAAAATAGAAACAAAACAAACATTCAAAACTCACTGACCTCGGCATATTTAACGCTGTTCAAGTCATTGTCTATTGAGTCACCAAGTCTCGTTGAATTTTGACTTTTGGCGCTATAAAAATCAAGGTTAACAGTTTTTTAATTTGTTTAAAAAGTGAAAACAATATAGTGCTTCTGTGAAATGTCCGTCTCTATTTAATAATATATATATATATTATATATATATGAGTTTTGTGCGATCAAGGAGGGTCTTTAACTGTTTTCAATGATCGGAAAAAACATTTTACTTCTTAGCGCCAATGGGACATTTGAATTTTGTAATCAACTTAAGACATTTGCATATTCACATTTTGAAATGTATTTATTTTGTAAATGATGTGCACCCATAAATCTGGTTCCACTGTACGCAGTCCGGTTCGGACGACGTTGCCGTTCGGCTTTATATTATTATTTATATTTGTATGCATAAAGCTTAGTTAATTGGTGCTATTGGTGCTGATCAAGAATATATATACTTTATGGGGTCGGAGATGTTTCCTTCTGCCTGTTACATACATTTGGATTTTGCACAAACACAATATACCCTTATACCCAGTTTTAATGGGTTCAGGGTATAAAAATGAATGTTTGTAAGTATCTCCTTGTCGGGCTCACACGTCTAGAGCACTCGTTATTGTTTTGTAAGCGGTTTGAGATATGATACCAAGGCGTATGTTTCAATTTTGACAAACGAAATATCAAGTAAACGCAATTTTTATGATAATTGTTTGCAAAACATTAGATAAGCATGAAGAAATATTTCAGATTACCGTCTTACCCAATTACCACCAATCAAAGTCTATTCACACAATATTTATTTATTACGTCAGTCTTAAACGTCCAAAATATTTATAGATTAGAATAGAAGCAATTTCAATTGAAAAGCGTTAAGGAGATATTACCACAAAGCTTAATCGGCCAAATTATTTTGGTCAGTTCACTTTGGTATAGTTTTTGATGCTTGTTGCCTCGATTCGTTGAACCCAAATCGTTGTGGCCAAGTTAAAAATATGAGCAAAACAAACATTCAAAACTCACTGACCTCGGCATATTTAACGCTGTTCAAGTCATTGTCTATTAAGTCACCAAGTCTCGTCGAATTTTGACTTTTGGCGCTATAAAAATCAAGGCTAAGTGTTTTTTTTTTTTTTTATTTATTCAAAAAGTGAAATGAGTATATTGCTTTTGTGAAATGTTCGTCTTGCTGTCTGTATGAATGCACAACATTTTTTCTGGCGTTTTTGATGATAGAGACTTGGATTTAAGACTGCTGAACAGCTCCTTTAACGATCGATTTACGAATACTTATACTTTTGGAAAATCGATGTGTCTTAATAAACTTGGCGGATAGCATATATTTTTATTTAATCTATCTGTTAACGAGTATTACGAAGTCACTTGTACTCCATGGCAATATTCGTCGGCGCTTGCGCAGCCGAGTGTAACTAACGTTGACCACCTTGAGTTCAATTGACGTGTTCGACTTCGTCGTGTGTCAGTACAGCTTCTGAAGCGGTTGCGCAGAAGCATCGGAACAGAAAAATATCTAAGTGGAATTAAGTCAATAAACACTTTCTGGCAAGCTTCAATAATGTGGCACTCTACACAGAATGCAGAATGTAGTAAAACATTGCATATAAGACAAAGAGTATGCTATATCAACTAAGTCCAAGCTTTTCAAATGTGTTGCTGTTTTTTGTTTCATTCTTACAACATTCTTAAAGAATAGCTTTGAAAAAGAGGACACATACATATATTGGTAGTTACACTGAGCTCAGGTTGAAAATAAAGTTGAACCTCATAAAATAAAAATAAAAACGACATAAAATTTTGTTTAAAAGTAAAAGTACTTTTAACAATCAATTTAATACTTATTATTGAATGATTGATTATTATTTTGATTAAGTATTATGTAATGATTTTAGGTAAAATTAAAACATTAAACTATAATTGACGGACGACGAGTTCTTTTGGCAACTTCCAAATGCAAAGTGTCTCTAATTTTAAAGCGCGTTGCGCAGCCTGCCCTTTGACGCAAAACTGCAAAGCCACAAATGAGCGAAGAGGGAGGGATCAGAAGCAGCGACCACTGCTTCCCACATTAATATATATCAAAACTAATAAATGTGCTATAGTCGGAAGTGGCCGACTGGGGGATAATCTGAACCTTCTTCTTCCGAAGGCATATTGTAGCATAAGTGAAAATAAATAAACTTGTTCCTTTTGATAAAGCGTGGCCATAGAGGCTAAATGCTATACCGGGCAAAAAAAATAATAAGTATATATAAAAAAAAAGAAAAAACGTATTAAAAAAAAAATAAAAAAAGTGTTGAACTTGAATTTAGCTTCAACCGCCCGAACTACCTACCATCAGTCAAAATTAAAAACACTTGATCTATGTATACTATTTTGGTGACTCTGGCTCTTAAGCTCTAAGAGATTTACTCAAAAGCCGGGATATCGATGCCAGTTTTTACGTTCAAAATTGAAAATAGGTCTAAAAAGTTATTTAATTTATATATTCCTGATCAGCATTAATAGTCGAGTCGATCTCAACATGTTCGCCCGTATGTATGAAAGCGACAATCTCAGAAGCTTTGACAGCAGGAGACTCGACATAAAGGTATTCAGCATTTTAGTTAAATGGTTTTCATACAAGCTTTAATTGTCCAACTTTCAGGATGATTTTTCCGAAACTTCGTCCTAGCCGTAAAATGAAGCATCTGTACAAATTTCAGCTTTGTAGCTCTTACCGTTTAGGTATGAACTTTTGACCAATTAGTCAAGCAGAAAGTCAGTTAAAACAGACTCTTTTATATTTTATGTATATATATAGCATGTGGACATAACTTTTAATTCGACCATTTACCATACACACAAGCTGACACACCTAGCCGCTTCCTTACGTATATCCACGCATGCACATATTTTATTCATTGAGTTTCCTTGTCCTTGGCTGGTTACAAGGTTTCTCTTAAGCTGCATGGTTTCTCAGAATACTCGGTGTGTTGGCACATAACTGGTTGGATGACGTGCCGGACACGGCCGCACAAAATTCCCTTTGGTTTGAGCCTTTTCCACGGAACGTAAACGGAATGTGATTTATTAGCGCACCACGCGGCTCACGTAACCGAACCGTTGCTTTTGCCAGGGTCCACATCCCGAGTACCATGATATAATGTTAATATAACAATTACATTTAAGGCAATGCTGGCCAGCTGTGTGTCGATATCTGCGCAACCAATTGCATTGCGAGTGCAAATTTAATTAGAGCAGCAAACAATTTGCGAATTGCAGTGGGCAAAAAAGGGTACACAAACCAAACGCAGCTAGCTGTTTTTGTAATTGTTTACTTTTCATACCCTAGC